TCCTGCTCACTCAACGTGACATTGTGAGGATCATGTCAATCAAACTTGGTCCCGCGCTCAAGATTTACAACTCAATCCTCATGTTCAAACACATCACAAGCCAATCACACACTGAGGACATGTCCCAATCACACACTGAGGACATGAGCCAATCACACACTGAGGACATGAGCCAATCACACACTGAGGACATGAGCCAATCACACACTGAGGACACCCTCAGGTAACAATGATGAGTCAAGCTGGAAACACCTGATACTTGACTCCACCTCCACTCCTCCATCCAATCATCAAGCAGATATCACTGTGATTTCACAACAATGATCTCAGGTGTGTTCCTGTCAATTGTGACGTTCACGTTCTTCGTACATGAGTAAAAGAACTATTGTGCATATTATCTCATTTTTTTAATCACGAGGTCCGAGGATGTTTATACAAGTACAAACCGAGAGTTTGTCTTTTAACATTTACGGATGAACGGAGAAGAAAACGCATCTGAATTCTTCCATGTTTGTGACCTGGGGACGTTTTGCAGCACTGGATGAAATCGGACCAAATTTCTAACCAGCATGCATTGTGGTAGGACCAGCATGCATCACGTAAAGGTATATATTGAAAGGTGTGAGTGGTGTCGTTAGTTTTCATCAATATAGAGAAGTGATTGTTTTCTACTGTTTCTATAGAGTTCTATTTTAAAGTTTCTTTATAAAAATATATATTTGTATCTCTGACAGGAAGTTCACTCACGTCTGTGATGTAAGAGCTGGGGGCGGGGCTTCTGTTTCCCTCAGGTTTCCATGATAACAGCTGACAGAGTTTAACTGTGATGTGTTTCTGTCACTGTTTGATAGATCAATAAAGATTCTGATCTGATCACTGATTGGTTTATTTACGCTTGACGATGATGATGATGATGTTCAGAAACAAACCTTCATCATCGCTTCAGCTCTTCTTCTGCAGTGTTTTAACAGCAGTGACTGTAGCATCAGTGACACCTGCTGTTCATCAGCAGCAGAGGAGGAAACAATGGCGCTCTGTCAATTATATTGATTGGTTATTATTTGATGAAATGCATTCTGGGAGTCGCAGTTGTCTCGTAGCTTGAGTAATAATGACTCAGTGTGAATTCAGAGTGAGTTTGGATGTATGGTGTCTCATCAGGGACAAACTTCCTCAGTTCGAACAGAAACTCAGATGCTGCAGAGCTGCTCCGCCTCTGTCTCCTAGCAACAACAGCATCACCCACCACTGGTCCAGAATCAGAGGATCCAGGTCTGGACTAGATCAGACCGAGAGAGACAGACAGTTCTGTGAGACAGGTTTACAGAATAAGAGAGAGGGAGGAGCCTGTCTCTCTCTCTCCATCCCTATCGCTCTTCCTGTCTCTCTCTCTCTCTCTCTCTCTCTCTCTCTCTCTCTCTCTCTCTCCCCCTCTCCCCCCCCCTCCCTCTCTCTCCTCTCTCTCTCTCTCTGTCGAGGATTCATCACTGCAGACACACTGAGGGGGAGAGAACGACAGAACAGAGAGGACTGGATGAGACGAGAGATTTAAACGTTGGAGCATCAGGAGGAGAAAAGAAACATGAAACAACAGGAGCCGACAACTGTGAGAACACCTGTTCTACTGGGTTCTACTGGGTTCTATTCTGCTCTGCTGTGGGCTGTGTTGTTCTCTCTCTCTCTCTCTCTCCCTCTCTCTCCCTCGGTCTCTCTGTTATGGATCTGGATCTGTCGTACTGATCGGTTTGTTCTGAGAATGAATATTGATCATTAATATTATCCATACTGTGTTGATCAGAGTGTGTTTAATCAGAAGAGTCCAGCCAGCCTCCCCTGTGGAGGAGCTGCAGTGCATCATGGGAAATGTAGTTCACACACTGAATCGAGACAAGGGCAGTGCATTGTGGGAGTTCAACATTAGTCTGCACACACGTTTTGACAGTTTCCTGTTTCAGTTTGAACTTCCTGTTGTTTTATCTGTTTCCATGGAAACAGCTGAAGTGAAAGTTAATCGATTATTTAGAATGTGACAATTTGTTTCTGACATGTCATGATGGATGTAACGACGATCAAACGCTCTCTCGTGTTCCAGAGCTTTCGACTGTGTCACACCTGTCTCTCTTACAGGAAGTTGGTGGGTGGGGCTTAACCTGCTGAGCCGCTGTGTGATTCGATAGTGATGATCGCGACTGGCGGCCTCCTGCGAATCAACGCCCGGCGTCAGGACTCACTGAGAAACAAAACACACAAACCACACACACACAAGAAGAAGAGCAAGAAGAGGAGGTGACACACACACACACACACACACACACACACACATGTTTGTACTTGTATCTTAGTGAGGACACTTACTGACATAATACATTCTCTAGAACCTAAACCATCACAACTAAATGCCCAACTGAACTCTTACCCTTAAACCAAGTCTTAACCCTCAATCAGTCCATTGAAGAAGAGAGGACCGGTCAAAACGTCCTCACGAAGATGTAAGTACAGGAACACAAACACACACACCAGGTAATGATGTCACTTCCTGCCCCCCCTCAGAAGGAGTGAGGTGGTGGTGGTGAAGGGGAAGTTGAAGCTGTGCTCGCTGTCGGGTCTCGTGGCGGCGCTTGGTGTTCTGGTCCTGCTAGGGGGTGTGGTCATGGCGACTCTGGGCTATTGGCCCCGAGATGGACTGTTGTTTAGAGCTCAGCCACAGGAGGGCGCTGCCATGGCCTCAGTGTCATCCATCAGCTCCACACCTGCACCTATTCAGGTGAGATCCACATACAGAACCTGACAGAACCCAGAGTCCGCCACTGAAAGTGAACCTCAACCAAGATGGGTGTGAAACTAGATCTGTCTATTTCTAGGGGGGAGAGAGGGGGGAGGATCTCCAGAGAGGAGAGGGAGACGATGGAGGGGGAGGAGCTGAAGACACTTTGAACCAGACAGAAACCGCCAATGGGACGAGCCATCACCTTCGGCGAAGCTTTGTGGATGATTTTCTGGACAGGTAAGAAAAGTGATGTCAAACTTTAGTCTCATCAACTGTTTTCAGACTTGACCTCCAGAGACACGTCTCCAGAGACACGTCTCCAGACACACGTCTCCAGAGTTCATGTTTCACAGCTGAACAACTCAGCAGCAGGTTTTCTGCTCAGACTCTTTAACAACAGCATCAGATCCTCCTTGTTCTTCAGGTGAGAGGTGGAGCAGACAGACAGGAAGTGATCAACATGATCACATGACACCGTTGTCCACTCCCTCAGTGAATCAGTGGAGGACGCTCTGCTGTGTCCTCACTTCTCCTGGATTTAGACTTTATACAGGAGTGAAGGAGGAGACAGACAAACTGAGTCTCACTCTGACATTTGAGTTCAAGATACAGTGACCTGAGGAGTGACAGCGACACTGAACCCTAACATGGTTCTGTCCTCTGATTGGCTGTATTAAATCTGTCTGCAGGTATCTGTCCTCTGATTGGCTGTATTAAATCTGTCTGCAGGTATCTGTCCTCTGATTG